AAACTTTTTCACTGTTTTGTCAATTAAACTTGTCTGATTGATATAAATACTCTAGTTTATGTTTTTTATCTCTATCCCTGGAAAATTTTTCAATACTCCAAGATTTTTGGCAGAAAATTCCTTCTCTAGTTCTTACACTATTTTGTCACTTCCAGGTCCCGTCACAAGAATTTCAACTACCCATAATACCAACCATACATCGGGTCCAAAATATAGCCAGAAGTCATTTCCTGATCTAGCTAAATTGTTTTAATTTGCGAACCTGTTAAATTTTTCATTCCGCATCTTTGGGGCTTCCCGAAATCCATAATGCTTTTTTCAGTATCAAATAATCAAATTTTACTTGGATTACTACTCCTTCTGGTATTTTTATAAAAATATTAATGTTGACCTCCTCATATAAGAAAGCTGTTGGTATATCTAATTGCGTAATTTTCCAATTATTCTGTACATCATGAGCTATGAGCATCTTTATAGTTGGATATCTAGCTACTGGTACATAAACATTATAATGCATGTCTTTCTTATATGCTTTTGCGACCAATCTTGCTTTTTTCAATCCATTTTGCTGCGTTGTAAATACCCAGCGTGTATCAATGGCCTTCTTACCTTCAGGTAGCTTTGCTGGCTCCCAAGTGCTGTATTTTTCATGAGCTTGAAGTTCCTTTTCTATTGCCTCTTTCCAGTCATTTCCAGCTTGAACTGCTTCAGTATAGTTCCTGGGTTCTTCTCCTTCTGTGATAAAACAATATGCTTGATATAATTCGAAGTCGTCCAGGATTCTTATTCGTCTTCTATTGAGTCGTTCTTCTTCATTATCGTAGTCTTCAATTGGTGTGTCTTCTGGATTATTATTTTCGTTGTCTGTCTTTTCTTCTATTCAAGTATTCTCTAGCTCTCTTTTATCTTCTTCGAAATCATTTTTATACTCAATATTAGTCTCATCAAATGTTACATTTCGGGATATTATAATTTCATCATTTATTGGATTCCACAATCTATAGCCATTCTTGCCATATCCTATCATCCTTGCTGGAATTGCCCTTGTTTCTAGTTTATCTCCTGAACTTGGAATCTTTAATATCCATGCCTTAGTGCCTAAAACTCTTAATTTATTTGAATCAACTTTACCATAGTATATATTTGTTGGTACATCACCCTTTAATGCATTTGTCGGGGATCTGTTAAGCTGATATACTGCTCCCCATAAATGTCTTGGTAAATTGGTCTCTGCAAACATAGCTCTCACCTTGTCTTATAACGTTCTATTTGCCCTTTCGCTAACTCCATTTTGCTGAACTGTGTATGGTAACGTGTATTCGATTTGTATTCCCTTCTGTTGGCAAAAATTTCTTAATTCTGCAGCTGAAAATTCACCACCATTATCACACGTAATTCTAGAACATTCAAAACCTTTTGCCTGTAGTTCTCTAGTATAATTCAACAAGTTGAATCGAGCTTCACTCTTACTTTGTAAAAGATAAATTGCTGTGACATGTGAAAAATCATTGATTATTACCTGATAAAATTTCTCATTTTTACTTGTTCTCACAGGACCTCCAATATCAGTATGTAAAAACTCTCCAATTTTTCTTGACCTGGGCAGTTTTTGTTTCTCAAATGGCTGTCTTTTTACTTTTCCTTCTCTACGTGGACTTCATACTGTCTCTAGTAATGGCAGATTTAATTTCTTCACGTATTGTTCTGGTAGGTATTCAAGCCTCCTATGCCATAATTCTTCTGAGTTTGTTGTACAGTCAAACATAACTTTATTATCTTTTTCATTAATTCTTTCTACTGATAGCAAGTTGTTTGTCAGTTATGGGACAATTAAAGCTGTTGAATTTATTTTTACCTTTCCATAGTGAACTAGAAGCTTTCCTTTTCTATTAGTAGTAAGAATATTTTCATTGACTACTCGAATCTGTACTTCGTTTTTAAAATTTTCAATTTCCAACATAAAATTTGACATATCTTCTGTGACTAAATGGTCTGTAGCTCCACTATCTGAAAAAAAAATTACTTGTGTTTGTGCATGTTTTTGATTTATATTCATTGCTTTTGATGTTAGAACTTCACTTATAAACGTCAATTTTTAATCCATGTTCTCCTCGCTCTCGATAACATTAGCATGCCTTGTTGGATGGAATCCTGTTCCTCGATTATACTGTCCGGCTCTGCCTCTTCTTGTATACCTTCCTCGAAACCCTCTATATATTTACAGGGTCTTGCTTCATTAGTGACCCCTTTTGTACAGTTTTTAATCAAATGTCCTTGTTCACCTTATCCGTAACATTTATTCTGTCCTCGTACATGTCCTTGATACTGTCTGTCCACACTAAATGCACAATCTTTGTTCACTACTGTACTATTTTTGTCTTTTTGACAATCCTTTAATTCCAATTCAGCATCTAATAACCTGCTTTTCACAAATTCCATAGACATTCCACTTGTTACAGTTTCTATGGCTGTAATCACATTATTATATTTATCGGGCATTGTAAGAAGTAAATAACACGGACTTTATCTGAATCATCTAAAGTAGTTTCGGCGGCTTCTAACTCTCTTAGCAACCATTCTACCTTTGAGAAGTGGTTTTACAGATTTTCTGTTGTACATTTCATTTTTAACAATTTTTTCATTATAAATAGCTTTGAAAATGTACTTTGTCTTTCAAAAACATTCTCTAATGACCCAAACATACCTCTAGCTGTCTTTGCATCTTTTATGTACTCTAAATGTTGATCTGTGATACATTGCACTATAATACATTCAGCTTTTATATTATTTGTTTTAAATTTACTCTCCTTCTCCTCATTTAAAGTTGCATACTCGGAGTCTGTCATGTCTAACACTCCTTTTACACCGTCCTTGTCCAATAATACTTCTACCCTGAATTTCCAATTGGATAAATTCGTTTCTGTTAATTGGGGTAATGGTAACACAGACATTTTTTTAAAAAAAATTTGACACTTCAAAAAATTAATTGTCTACTTATCGTAAAATTGTTCTTACCACTTTTTCTCTCTATTATCTTCACTGATCACCAATTCACTATATTTCCCGTTGCCCTGGGCCCCATATAACCTGTTGTTAATTGGGATCCTTTTCTTATAAAGAAATCAGTAAAAACTGGAAAACATTAAAACACGTTTCTCTATTTAGAACAAGATTGACAGACTGTCTATATTACGTAAACTTTGATATTACTGACAATTATTCCTAACGTCAATACATACCTATACATTAATAGTTGCCATCTAATGGACTTTCTATAAAGGTGATTTATATTCAACTCTTTATTGACTAGAATTGCAACCATAGCATCTTTTCTTAAAGTTGTGATTCAAGTAATTTATTTTCCGTATTTCATTTCCCGAAAACGATATAGTCACCTTCACATAATGTTGTTCTTTTGTCAAATTTATTAGTTTTGGCGACAAAATAATATTGTTTTCTACTTTTGTTTTATTGACCATTAAACCAATCATTACTTAAATCTTTTCAACAAACAACAACCAATGCCGTGCATTTTTTCACGCAAGTTTTAATCTCTAACGACGCTCATAAACACTCCAACACGAATTGAATATTTCATGATTGATTAGTGCACTTAAGCGAATAGAGTCGTTTTAATGGTATTTTACATGAAATGCATTATTATTAGATGTGCTTGTTTCACGCTTCTAATAAAAGTTATTACAAAAAGAATAAATAAAACCAGGATCCTGCAGAATGTTACTCTCAAAGAGCGCTAGAAAGCGGTGCAATGGAATGTTTTTCCTTAGAGCTTGAAATTACAATGCAATACGACCATTTTCTTTAGTCTCCAAATTCAAAATTTCAATTGATCGTCAATCGAAAAATGACTTTATATTGGATGAATTTCTCGTGGGTTGGTCATTAAACCCAGCAGGCCTCTTTGACTTTGAAATTCAACAGAATAAAGTTAGCCGAAAAAGCTAGAAAAAAGCATTCGTTAGCTCCTAGTTATAATTTAACTTCGAGTTAACATTTTATTGAAGAAGGAGCTATCACCATAATCACCAAGTCAAGTGAGTTTACAGTGACAATAATGTTGCATTAAAACAATCTGTTTAAAATGGGATACCGTGCTCCTGTTCTCTTTGAGTTGATACTGTTTTTCAATGTTGAAAAGCCTGATCATGAACTTTCTACTTTGGTAAAAAGTGTTTGCAATGTTCTAATTATTACGGTATTCGATAGTCGCACATATTTGAATATCGTCCAATTCAGGTCGTAGATCTAAATGCTGTGCTGTGTTTGGTTGAAATTGTAAAATATAGGATTCAAATGTGACAGAAACATTTTTTGGTCAATAATTATCTAGAATACCTACGTTTAGTCTGTTTTTTCAATATTTCGAGCCTTTCTTAGAAAAAATATAAAAATTATTATTTACTGACTACTAGTCAATTGCAATGTATACGGAGTTGCCTAGTTGCCAGTAAATTAATTTTCTCAGAACATAAAATAAGCAATCAGACGGCATTCATAGTTCTTCACCCCAAGATGCACGACGATAACGCAGCCTTTTAAGTGGTATTCTACGAAATAAAAATCATTTCTGAATCCTTCCGGGTAAAACCGCTTTCAAGTGACATTTTTTTTTGTTTCAAATCAATTACGGAAAAACATAAATAAGCAAGAAAAAAAAAATTGGATAAAGACAGAGTTGGCAGAAGGCTGGAATTCAGCAAGATATGCACGTGAGATTTTTAAGAAGTTCAGTGATTGAATGAATTTTGAGGCAAGCTTCCAGATAATATTGAAAATTTAAGCACACACATAATATGCAAGTGTGCACACACATAATAAGTGTGCAACATCAATTTCTTGAAGTTAAATAATTGCTTACTTTTGAAATATTCATAGATTGTATTGAGTATTAAATTTCAAGGTCAAACTCTTTACAGGTTTACATTGCGAAAAATCTACAAGTAAAATATTCGATTCCAATGTTTTCTTCTATTTTTCAGATAATCTATTGCAAGCGCCCAGATTTACGACGTTCTCGAGCAGCAGCATAATTAGATTAGGAACAACGAAGATCGTGCAATGCCAGGCTTTCGGTAAGTGATAATTCCCAGTTATTAGTTGATCATTTTCAAGACTGGAAATTGCCCTTAAGCGGTTGGCCGCACATTTTCGTTCAGTGTTTTATCTCTTTGACGTTTACTTAATTAGAATTTTAATCTTTAATTAATTTTTATCTTGATTCGCGGGCAGGACAAAATTTGGCTTGAAATATAAAATTCTATATTCGACTGGGAAAGATTTAATTCAATACGTTTGGAAGTATTTTCAATTTTAATTATTAGGTACTTTCATGATGTCGACTTTCAACAAATTTCAAATAGGGCACTAGCTGACGTCACACACATAACCTCACTTTCAATTGGGGGACAAACAAAGCGTTTAAAGACTATTTACACACATCAGTTCCGTAAGAAAAGGTACGCTAACAAATGTTAATATCGTTTGTTTGCCCCCCATCGAAAGTGAGGTTAGTTAGCTAGTGCCTATTTGATGAATACTCCTTGTCCAAAAGTATTATGCACTCTAATTCGTCAGTTCAAACCATTTTAAGAGTCGAATATTTCACATCGCTATGGCTATACTGACTGCATCAAAATTCAAAAGGGTCTTTCCCTTTCACGGAGGAATATAATTCACTTATAATTGACATATGTATAATCAGAAATATGAGATGACAAGCTTTGACGCAAGGTGAACCATTGTTCGGAAAAACTAATGATAATTTTCTAAGGTAAAACCTTTCGTTTGAAGTTGTATCCAAGATCTGCGTACAAACACTTAATTTTTCTCGAATAGTGCGATTTTTAAATGTTTTTGGATAATTTATACACTTCGTTTTAGGTAGAGAGAAAAGATCCTGAATCTTTTAATCAAGAGAATTTAATTAATTAATGAAGATGGATTATTAGCTGTTTTTTCTGTGTTTTGACTAAAAAAGCTTAATAGCATCAGCTATTTTTTCATCAATAGAGATGGCAAATTCTCGAGAATTTATTTTGAGAGAATTTTCTCGGAGAATATTCGGGAATATTGGAGAATTTTGGAGAATTTTGGAGAATTTCGAAGAATATAGCTTCTTAACATCATTTGGAGCTTTTTGCATTTTTTTGGTATCTAAAAATCACAAAATTGACATAGAAATTTTGTTTTCCTTATTTTGTCTGAAATGTTCCCTTATCAAACTTCTAGGTTTCATTTTCGAAGAAATTTCCTCAAAACTAGTCAGAATTAATATTAAGGGCCGGTTTATTCCATCTTCTGATAAACTCTCAGGTTTGTAATCTGACGGATAAAAACGCAATCTGTAATCTCATTGGTCCGCCAGTTATCCGCCGACCAATAGAATCTTAGAACAGTACATTTATCTTGTAGATAGTTACCAGCAAGTTTATCTGAAGATGAATACCTAAACCGGGCCTAAATATGTAAGTTAAATTATTAAATATTTCTTTGCACACACTCTGCACTCTGCACAGTGCAGAAACAATGAATCACTGAAATAACTTATGGCCATGGCGCTTCCAGTTGGTAGAAATATCTAGTGCAAAGAAAATGTGTTTGTGTTTCTATCTGTTTCTTTAACAGGCTGAGAGAAAGAGTTGGAAATACACTCAGTACTCAGTTACGCCAGTGCGCATTAAATCAAATCTACCAACCGAAAACGCCTATAGGCTCGGGGTATTTACTGGATTTACCCGGTCATTATTCTTGAAACAGGGGAGCAGCGTTCTCAGGAGAACGAGTGTTCCGTCTTTGTTACTTATATTCGAGCCTATATTATCAATTGCAAATCATTGAGAAAGACGGAACACTCGTTCTCTTGGGAACGCTGCTCCCCTATTTCCCTTTCAAGAATAAGGACACGGACTCACTCTTTTCTGTTTTTCATTTCAACCTTATCTCACTACGAACCTAGTGCCATTTGTATGTGCAAGGTGATAAATTTAAAAATTGGGAGTAATTTCCCATAAATTCTCGAAAATAACCGTATATCCTCATACATTCTAGAATAACCTAAAAAATTTATAAATTCTCGAGAATTTAAGTCCAAAGAATATTCTCGGTAAATTCTCTGTTCTCGATAGAAGTTCTTTGGAGAATATTCTCAGGGCCATCTTTATTCATTAATTAAATTCTGAATGGATTTGATAAAATACTTTAATATTCTTGAAGAATCCGTAAATCTATTTTAATTGACAATCAACAATAAGGTTTCAATATTTTAGATAAATCGCTCATCGGTCGATTTTCGACGAAAATCTTGGATATGTGCCATAGCCAAGGCAAACGGTAAATATTCTGGATTTTGGTAATCCACAAAATTTCAAACGACCCGTTGTAGTCTGCCGTACGAAAGGCCTATCAGTCATTTCTCATGTCAAAGGCTTAAACCTCGATCAAGAAATTATAATCAAGCTAGATAAAAAAACACAATTATTTCCCAACTTGAAAATAGAATAACAGAGGTCGCTAGGCATACGAAATAGCACTTCAATCAAATTTTGAAGAAAGATCTTAGCTTTAGGAGTTAGACAGAAATGTCTGCGATATATATAAATTGGTGTCAATACATCCATTTATTCGTAAGCTCGTGTCGTACTTACCCGAAAGAAACAGAAACACTAATTTGAAGCATCGATGATATTAATCCAGAATCGCTAAAACCACTAATTTAGGTCAAAATTCATAAAACTTTTCTCATAAGTATCAATCCATTACATTGTCTCGCGGATATTTCATATCGAGTTACAAAAGCTTATAGCTCCCCATTGTAGTTCAAATGCGCCACGAAGTATCCTGTACATTTATCAGGGAATCCAGCTTATGGTTTCCTGGGGGATTTAAAATCCGATATCTGATTATAATACCTGTTTGAGAGCGGAGATAATGAAAATATAAAATCCTCCTGTATTGCAATGGGGTGTTAAATTACAAATGCTATAAAGTTACGTTGCTTATTCACTTTTGAAATAAAATAAAGTGTTATGGGATTTTCATGTTAGCTCATCTATAAGAGAAAAAATATATCTGCAGTTACCTATTCTGTCATCAACAATAATACAACAGAAACGACTCGGAAAGAATTTTAACAATGTCGAAGTTAACAAGATGTTGCCTTTAATGGAAACGACACCGTCATAGACAATAGGTACCTATAATAAAGTATTATGATGGACAATCAATCCTAGCCCGTAAATCCAGTGGTCGAGAGTAGACGGAGATAGGATGCTATAAATTACATCAAAATGACGCTATAAAGAGGATAATAAAATTTAGAACATCCGCATTTCGATTTAGAACTGGATTTCTGTGTGTACACTGTGGAGGATTATTGTTGAGATAAAAATGACAAAAGCGATTGCTTTCAGAGATGGTCAGGACTTGAGTAAATTGTAACCTTGTTCTACATTATACCCAAAAAATGATAGGTTTAGCTTTGGGCCATAGTTTCACTATTGAAATTTTTGATCTATAGATTTGGCTCTGCAAATCCAAAATACTATTTTCTTATAGAAGAGCAGAATCATGAGAAGAAATTAAGGAACAAAAAAAAAAGAAAAAAATGAGCTTATCTGTGGGTTCTTTGATGGATGAATGAGCCTATTCTAGAACCACAACTTCTCCGACATTGATTCCTCACTCAATGAGCGGTCGTTGTTTTCGAAAAGCTCAAATCAGACGTTCTCGTTCTTCTCTAGGATTTGGTTTGTCCTCCGCATGCCAATACAGTATCTGAAAAAAGTGCGTCACATGAACCTATCAACAGAATCATTATCATCAGATGCTGGTGTCGCTGGTGAAAACAAGACAAGTATGAAAAGCAAGAATAGAAAAATGAAAGAGAGGAATCCCGAGGAAGAAGTTGAATAATGTAATAGGTAAAGTACTAAGTAACAAAAAGGAAAATGAGGGGGAAAGTAAACAATGGGAAGAGATGCCAGTCCTACAACATTCTACGGTATTTGAATGCATTTGTACTTGCACCTTAGAGATGTTAGCATCAAACCTATTTTTCGTGAGTAAATACTACTTGAAGAAGATCTTCTATTCAACAATTTTCAAAATCGTACAACTCACAATCACAATATTATGGTGATCAAGTTCCGCCATGGATAAATTATTCGCAATATATTTCTGGAGTTAGAGATTTCTTCAAAAGTATAATCAAGTCTGACTTAAAAAAATATAAAATTCCGTTGCAAAACACACATTCGTTCCGCATCACTTTCCAGCCAAAACCATCGATCTTATCACGCTGAGCATGGCCAAAGGCTACCACTGAATAGACGAGGAAAAATTGCCGGTGGTTGTACTGGTGTGTCCGCGATCAAAGGCCGTTTAAATGACAGCTTAATAATAAATGAAACGGGCAGCCAAAGCAAGGCGGCGTTCCTGCATCCCCCGTTGCTTTTTAAATTGACTTTCGAAATTGGCCCGGAAACACTGGACAGGGAAAAGTCAATTATATAGGTTTGCATAGAAGGACATTAGACACATTTTTTTGTATGTCAAAATTGAAAAAACAACGATTGTCATTTATTTAAGTGCCTTTTCTAGAATGTGTTTTCTTATTCCAGAAAAATATGTGTTAGCCGTTCAATAGAAAAGCATCGCCTACATTTTACATGCAAACAAAAGCTACAAATGCCAAAGTGTAACTGATGTTTTTATAATTGACCCTATTTGACACGCCTCAAAACTCAAAAACTTGAAATAAATTACCTGGCAAAGGTGGATTTTTTATAAAGATGATAAAGCATTGAATGGTATTTTTTTATTGTTTCAGAGCAAATCGTTGAAATTACTCAGGGCTCAGCATCAAATATCGATTACTTCAATAGTTACTGATTCTTTTTTACACAGAAAAACAACGTTTGAATATTGCTCGGAATATTGTATCCTAATAGTTGTATCACTCTTTGCCTACCCTTTCCAAGGTTTAGAGGAGACGCATATATGCTACGATATCGTAAGCACATGTTTTTCAATACATATGTGATGAATTGGTCTATTTCTTCTATGTGGACCGACT